CCGCACCCCGAGCCCGCGGCCGCCCGCCCGCCGCGCGTTACCTGCAGCACCAGGGCCTGCGCCGCCCCGGGCGGGAAGCCCATGCGGTCGGACGGGTGGCGCAGCAGGCGGTAGAAGTCGGTCTTGCGGTAGAGGAAGCCGAAGAGCACGCGCAGGAAGTCCTGGACGTTGCCCACGTGCTGCAGGATGCCCAGCAGGGCCTGGTCGTACAGCTCGGCCGCCCCGGGCTCCATGGCGTCGCCGGCCGCAGAGACGCTGCTCACTGCGGGCGCTGCCCGGACGCCGGCCCACGGCCACTTCCGGCTCGCTGCGGTAACGGCTCCGCCGCCAGCGCAACTTCCGGTCCGCGCCCGCCCGGCCGCCGCTTGTCGGGCCCGGCCGGGTGGCACCGGGGCGCCCGTACCGCGAGCCCCGCCCCCGCCGCCCGGCCGGCTTTCCCGGGCAGCCTCGCGGAGAACCACACGCGAGCCCCGAAGTGGCTCCTAGGCGCGAGAAGGCCCGGCACGGCGGGACCGAGAGCGCCCAGCGGCCATGTTGCAAACGGGCGGAAGGGGTGTGGCTTGGGCCGCGTCACGTGAGCCCGGTGTTGTCACGTGGTGGGCGGAGCGCCGCCCCTTTCTGGGTAGAGAGTCGGCCTGGGGGGCTGGGGTCCCCGCAGCGGGCGGGTCGGGCGCGGAGGGTGCGGGCGGTGTGTGTCCGGTTAACGGCGCCGGGAGTGAATGCACGGTGACGAGCGGGCACGAATACTCAGTGGAAAGAGCTCGTTGCAGAGTGGAGACTGCCGTGCCATCGTCGTGAGATACACATATGTACGCGTGGGTAGCGTGCTCTCGCGTGTGCATCGTCTGCGTACATAACGCTCGGCACACGTAATGTCCTCGGTGTCCGCCCAAGCACGATCCTCAACAAGCCCCAAACATAACGCCCGTTCAGACACGGAGTGAACACATGCCAAAGATGCCGTTCGACGAGACTGAATTAATGAAGGAAGCAGTGATAGGGTAGGACTGGTTCCAAGAGCATTTGGAGGAACTGGGTGTTTATAAACACTTGGAGAAACAGTAAGATTGTTAGGTTGGGTACAAAGTTGGCTGGTGTCCTACAAAATGATAAAACCGTAGGTTAACTTCTCTAGTGCATAGCAATGCTTTGCATCTCGACTGGACTAATATCTACCAATGAACATGTATCTATCTTCACAGTCTAGGGGCTCTAATTAATTGTAAATAAAGTCAGAACCAGATGAATTGCCCTAGGGCAGTGGTTCTGAAACTTCTTGGAGTCATTTTCACTTTAACATTTATTGAAGACTCCAAAGACCTTCTACGTGGGTCATTCTTATAGTTACCATATCAGATATTAAAACTGACAAAATGTTTAAATATTTATTCATTTTTAAATAACCATGAAAAGCACATTACATGTTTACATTTTTATGAAGGAATAATGTTCTTCAAAGCAATTAAGATTACTGAGAAGAGTAGCATAGTTTTACATTTTTGCAAATCCCTTTACTGTTGGGCTTCATTGAAGATAGCAAGATTCTCACATCTTTTGCGTTCACTGCATTGCAATATGTTGTTTTGATGGAAATACATGAAGAAACCCTGTCTTACACAGATTGTAGTTGGAAATGAGAGGAGTATTTTCATTGTCTTTTCAAATAAAAGCATTATTTTTTGAAACCAAAGTTGAACAGGTGGTAGTTTCTTAACAGCTGTAATATGGAACCTGAAACATCAATCAGTGTTTCCTAATTGTCACATTAATACCCCTTGGTCTGTCCTGAACTTTGAATGGATCTTTCACAGGCATGATTTCGTAACACCAGACTGGAATGCAGAATGTAGCAAAACAAATCGCATCACAAATGTGTGAAGCAGCCTCACTGAATGGGCTGGGAAAAAAAGGCTGACCTAAGTACGTCTGGAAATGAACGGAGTCTAAGACTAAAGGCAAAAGGAGCTAAAAAGAGATGCTTCATCCTAAAGTTGTTTCCCGTGGGGGTGTGGGCTATCATCTGTGAAGATACTACCCACATATAAGGGAGGTGAGCGATCAAGCAAGTTGTGCGGGTGGTGGAATGAGGCTTCTCAATACTGGCATGGGAGCTTACTTACAGAGAAGCCGGGGAGGAGTCCAGAATGATTCGTGTGGCGATGAATTAGAGCTGGAAGCATCAGCATGAACCTAAGTTAAGCCTCCTCTGGCTACAGATGGCTACATGTAGAGATATTTATAGAAATGGGCACATACGTGTGTCAGTTTACACACATATATTTGGTTGCTCTCCCGGCTGAGAGAGCCCAAGAGCAGCAATGCCCCAGCAGCAAAGTGCACACGGAGTGCAGATCCTGGGTTCGAATCCCATCTCCAACTGAAGGGCCAGGACTTCTTGGAGAAATGCTGATTCTCAGACTGGGGCAGAAAATACGCAAGCTGAACCTGCACCAACTTGCTAGTAGTGCCAGGCAGCAAGGAAAAAAGGAAGAACCTTCCATGATGGGCGTATGACAAAGGGACATAGGAGCCAACAGAGAGAGCTCCCAATGGCCCAAGCTGGAACGATCTGAGCAACACAGTGAAGTGGTATCATATTAGAGCCCAGACTACAAAAGGAATGTCCGTGGGTCCATACAGTATATATCACACTGAATGAATGAACATACGGAGGGAAATAGACTATTTTCCTGTGGAGAAGAATTCCAAGTAATTTATGTAAGTACTCTGCCCTCCAGGACGTGGAGCACAACTCCCCACTCCCTAAGTGTAGGCCACACATGGTGACTTCCCTCCAAATAGCACCACGTGAACAGCACGGAAGGCGGGAGCGTAACTACCGAGGAGACACCTGACAGACATGAACTTGGCCAGGCGACAGGAGTCCATGCTGGCAGTGGGAAATCGGGGATAGCCTGCACCCTTTACATGATCTGCTGAGAAGGACGCTCCACCTCGTGGTGTCTCGGCCAAAACCCCATAACTTCAGTCTAGTTAGGAGAAACGCACCAGACAAACCTCATTTGAGGGACATTCTACCAAATGCCTGACCAGTCCTCCTGGAAACTGTCAAGGTCATCACAAACAAGGAAAGTCTGACAAACTGCCACAGCTAAGAGCCTAAGTAGACATAACAACTAAATGTCACGTGCGATCCTGGGACAGAAAGAGGGATGCCAGGTAGACTCTAAGGAAATCTAAATGAAGCATGGACTTGAGTAGTCGTTATCAATACTGGTTTATGAACAGTGCATTGATGAATGTACTAGGCTAATATAATATGTTAATCAGGTAAAATGGGTGTGAGGTCTACAGGAACTCTCTGTACTATCTTTGCAATTTTTCTGTAAATCTATAACTATTCTAAAATTTTAAAAAGTTTGCTTTTTAAAAATGTATTTTAAAAAAAAGTAATCATCCATAATCCTACCCTTTCCCCCAAAGAGCAAGTGGGATGGGGCGCCTGGGTGGCTCAGTTGGTTAAGCGACTGCCTTCGGCTCAGGTCATGATCCTGGAGTCCCGGGATTGAGTCCCGCATCAGCCTCCCTGCTCGGCAGGGAGTCTGCTTCTCCCTCTGACCCTCCCCCCCTCATGCTCTCTCTCTCATTCTCTCTCTCTCAAATAAATAAATAAAATCTTTAAAAAAAAAAAAAAAGAGCAAGTGGGATGTACTGTGTTGGTGTTGGTCCAGGGAGGGAGGCCCCCTCATCCGCTGCTGGTGGGGGTGTGAAGAGGGGAGCAGCTCTGGGGATTCACTTTGTCTCTACCCGTACATTACCTCGCCAACACCGCCTCCAGGTAGCTCTCCCGCATATACACCAGGAGACCTGTAAATTCATGCTAAGCCTCATAGAGGCTCTGTACCTGAAATCCCATAGGTGAGATCAATTTCAGGAATTAGGTTTTTAGAAAAGTAATACGATGCTTACGCTGTTTTAGATCATACACCCCATCAGGGCCTGCGCCTGCACACAATGTAATCAGACTCATCAACGTGCCCGAATATCTGGCCACTCCCATCAAGGACAGCAAAGGCCATAAATACCCCATTCATGAAGCATATAAATAGACACATCCTGTCTGGTCACTTTTTGCCACCAAATGAGTTTGTCCCAAACTAACAAAGGAAAAAGAAGACAAACTAGATTTTCAGAGATTTGGGGATTTGGGAATTCCATACGAGTGATTATCGAGGTGTAGTGGAAAAGTAATTGGGGGCATTGTGCCCACCAGCAGAGGAAGGGATAAAACCACTGTGTTGGCTCACACAGGGGAATCCAGTGGGGCCACCGCGACCACTGGGCAAGGTCTACAGGTCTCCCGTGAGTAAATCTAACATGTGTAGCCTGGGAAACGCGCTGCAAAAGCGGACGCCAAGTATGATTCCATTTATGAAACATTTTAAAATGTGAAATAATACTATATATTGTTTACATATAGATATATGGAATTAAAGTTTAAAAACTTGCAGGAGGAAGACACGCCAAGTTCGAGAGACAGGAACAGGTCACCCCCAAGCTGCCGCTTGCCGCCTTCAGCATAATCATGTCCTCATGGGTACAACCTGGTGGCCAGAGAAGGTCCCACCACAGGCACCCCCGTGGGGACAGCCTCTCCCAGACCCTGTGGGGAGGACAGGTGAAGGGAACCCGAGTGGCCCGCGGTGTCATCAGAACTCGTGTCCACTGTGGGGCAGAGAACTGTCAAGGCCACTCTTGGCGGGATGTTCGAAGCCGTAGTTGATGTAGGTGCTGCTGGCCGTGGACGTCGCGCCCGGGTGGCTCGGGCAGGAGGCCATCCTGGCCCTGGCAGCCTCTTCCATCTGCTTCTGCTCCAGCATTAGAGCCGCGTTGACATCAGGCCCTGCAGGGGAACAGCCACAGAGGACCGCGGTCAGGGCGGCCATGTGCTGAGCAGGAGGCTCCTCCCTGCCCTGAGTCTGTCAGCGGGAGGAGGAACAGCCTCTCTTAGCAAGGAGGTCTTGCTGGGGGCTGCCACCAGACGTTCCAGGAAGAAAGGAGAGAGGGGTTCCCAGGCAGGCGGGGATCTGCTCTGCAAGACAGATGTGGGGGGCGATAGGAGGGGCGGGGCCGCTGTGTGGGAGGGGCCCTGCTGGGTGCAGGGGTGCGGAAGGCCCTGCCCCCATGCGCAGGCGCCTGGGCACTCACCCAGGTAGCTGAGGACCACTGGCAGGAAGACCAGGCCGTGCAGAAGGCCCAGCACGGTGATGAGGAGGTTGAGGCGGAAGAAGAAGATCTGGATGAGCTGCGCCTTGGCCAGGCCCAGGACGAGGATGCCGGGCAGGTTGGTCATGGCCACGCCAGCGAACACCTGGGGGTCACAGGCAGGCGTGAGGCCGGGCACGGGGCGACGGGCGGAGGGGGGGTAGGGGGGCGGCGGGCCCACTCACCGCGCTGCCCATGAAGACGGTGGCCTCCTTGGCCCTCTCCAGCCGGGTGGGCTGGGTGCTGACGGCAAAAGCGCGGGTGATGTGCGACACGAACTCCACGGAGATGCCCACCGCCTGGGGGCAGAGAGGAGTGTTAGGCGTGCAAGGGCCAGAGCGCGGGCTCTCCGGAAGGCAGCAGAGTGTCGGGTGAGGACGGGTTACCGTGACCAGGTTGATGAGGGACACGGCGTTGTAGCTGATGCCCCACAGGGCCATGAAGCCCACAGTGTCCACGAGGATCATGATGATGGAGAACAGGTTGAGGAGGCCCGAGCGCAGGTCCATGCCCAGCAGCAGGCAGCAGACGATGAAGGTGGGCAGCAGGCAGATGGCCAGCATGAAGAGGCCCTCGGGGACCACGTTCAAGTACTGCTCGTAGAACACGTTGGTGATCCTGCGGGGGGGGCGGAGCGCTGTCACCGCTGGGGCGCGTGGCCTCCGGTGTCGGGCTCGGAGCGCCCCGGGGACCCTCTCCGCTCCCGCCGCCCCTGCCGCCCCCGCCGCCGGGCCTCACGTGTAGGGGAAAACCTCGAAGGCCGGGTCGGTGCCCGGCACCTGCCGCAGGTAGGCAGTGATGTTGGCCGCCAGGGCGCGTGACGCCCGCAGAGCTTCCGTGTAATCCTGCGAGTTCCGCAGCGGCTTGTGGTAGGCCATGAACCGCGAGGCTGCGCCCGCGGGGGGAAGAGGAACAGAGGAAGGGCAAGGTCAGAGTCCGCTGCAGGCACCCTCAGACCCTGGGCACACCCGACTGTGATCAGGGTTGGGAGGCCACCCCGATGGAATATTCCGTTGTGAGCAAGCAGGGTTCACACTGCAGCCCTGCAGGCGGTCCTACCCCCGCGGGAGCCCCGGGCCCAGCCTGCCTCTGCCGGGTGCACCCTAAAGACACTGCCCAGATAAACCCAGATGCTGTGCTCTAGGGTTTCAAAACACGCATTGGATTTTTCAAATTAAGTCAATTACTTTTCCAATGTGCATCTTCCTAGAGGGAAGGTCCAGAAGGGGAGACAGAAATGCAGGAGCGGTTCAGCTGATAGGGTGACCGCAGGGCAGGGGCAATCGTCATCCGTTTAGCCAGCTGCCCACATCTGTGGTGATTTGTGCATGTGAGTAAGGAGTGTGGCTGACCCCCCAGCCCTGGAAGAGTCCAAGAGTGTCTCACTGACTGAGGATTTGGGGGTGGGGAGAAGGAAGCAGGGCAGACAGGTGAAGTCTGAGAACGGGGAACTGGGTAACATAGCCTCTGAGGACAGGGCCAGGGCAGGTGGAAGACTCCCCATGAAGGAGGAAGGGGAAAAGACTGCAGATTGAGAGGCTCTTCCCCGGGCCTTGTGGTGACCCCCAGGGCAGCTAAGTCTGACCTTCCCTGCCGGGTGAGGCCACACTTACCTAAAATCTGGCCATTGGGTCCCAAATGCACGGAGGTGTTATACGCGGCCAATCCCCTGCAAGACCGGAGCAAAGGCTTAATCAGGGACCTGGGCCACCCTCGCAGACCGTCTGTGCTTCCCACCCCAGGCTTACCCTTTGGGACACTGGATGTTGGGCGGGTCGCTGAGGAACCAGGGAAGGTACTCGTGAAACTGCTCCTCTGAGGGCCGGATAGGGCCCAGTGTGAAGTTCATGCAGTTCTTCAAGCAGGCCAGGGAGTCTGCAAAGACAGCGGGGGCTCTGGGCAGTGCCCCCGCCCTGGGCTGGGCAGCCCTCCATCCCCACCCAGGTCCCCAGGCACTGCCCCCCCAAAACATGCAGCACGCATGGGGCACGTGTGCTCTGGAGGAGGAGGGGTTCCCCTCTAGGTCATGGAAACCAGCAGCAACTATAGCAGGTGAGGAAGCCAAGTGTAGGGCAAAGAAATGACCCCCTTCGGCCTCCCCACTCCACTGACAAATGCAGCTACTCTGGGGCCAGAGCCACCTGCTACACTCGGCTCTCCCCTTCCACCAGCCGTGAGATCACAACTCGGGGGTGCTCACCCCCACACGTGCCCCAAGCCTGTGCCCCCACCCTCACTGACCCTGCGAGAGTGCGGGAGGGGCTAGGAGGGCCTAGCCATGCTCCCCTCGCTTGCCTCAGTTTCCCCAAGCTGTGGTAGGCCGGGAGCCCCCAGAGGCCCTGACTCACTGATGGTCGAGGGGCAGAATTCGCCCTTATGAGCACCAAAGGCATAAAGGCGGCAGCAGGAGGATGGCGTCAGCCAGTCGATGAAGTCATCCACCCAGGAGGAGGCGGGGATGGCCAGGTAAGACCTGAGGGTCAGGGGAGAGGACGCTGGGGGGGGCAGGACCTGCTGGGCAGGCAGTGAGTCCTTCCCGGGGCCCGCCCCCCTCCTCCCCAGGCACAGGGCAGCGGGAGGACAGGTGGGTGAGGTCAAGGAGTCCGGAAGGGGGGGTGGGGGGCACAGACAGGGCTTGGCTGGGGCACTCACTCCTCGGGGAACTCGGTGGCATACTGTATCTTCTGGGTTAAGGAGTAGCTGTCGCATCCCGCACTAGAGCAAATGGCATTCATACCCGCCTCGCTGGAGAAGTTGTAGCCCCCCGTGGTGACAAAGTAGACTGGAGCCCCCACCTCAAAGTAGTGGTTCAGATTGAAGAAATAGTCCAGCAGGTATGAGTCCTGAGAAGACGGAGTAGAAGGTACCAGGCATCCATCCCCCCACCTGGACACCCCTGCGCCAGAAGCACCTGTCTGATAGACACAGTTTGGAGCTCTGGGGTCTGCCGAGAGCTTGCAGCTCCCAGGGAAAGGCCCGGAAGCTGAATAGTGGTCAATGCCAATCGCCTTCAGCTCTCAGCATGGTACCGGCTGCCCGGCCACACGCGGGCACTTTGCACGCAGCTTGTGGGGCCCAGCGTGGGACAGGAGGACCCCGGCCCCTAAAGATCACAGGTTTGCACTCTGATTGCTGAGCACTGCTCCGATCTCAGTGGTGCAGAGTCGGGCTGCTGCCGTCAGCCCCCTCCTCAAGCTGGCACGCCTGCTGAGATGTTTAAGTGACTAGTGACAGGTTTATTAATTTTCCTCGCCATGCTTTCCCTTTTCCCCCTTTTGGCAGGCAGACGTAGAAGGAATGGGACATTCAGAAGCAATCACAAATACAAGAGAAGTCACCGTACGTTACGGTACCGGGGAAAGGCTCAGGCTCAGAAAAGATCTGATAAGTCTTTAATTTTATGCCTCAGGCTAATCTCCAGGACAGAGACACCAGCAACAATCACATTTCTTTTTTTAAAGCAAACCCCCTGGGAAGGGGGAGAATCTGATCTTTAGAGATCAGACACGATAAGACTCAACATTTCTCAACAACAACCATCCCAGACACTCATCAGACAGACACTTTAAAACACCTGCCTTAGGGATGCTCAAAGGGCATCCAGACAAAGCCAAGAAAAGAAAGTATGGACAAAATGGAACGATCAACCAATAGAAAACATAAAACAGAATCCAGAAAGGAATTTTGGAGCTGGAAAGTACGAGGACTACATGAAAAATTCTGGTCATAGATTACATAATCTTACATACATGAAACTCTAAAATTCCACCCCAAACCCCTTAAAACAAGTAAATAAATTGAGCAAGATTGCAAGTTACAAGATCAACACATAAAAATCAGTTGCATTTCTATACACGAGCACTGACTAACCCAAACAGGAAACTAGGGAAAGCCTAGTTACAATAGCATAAAAAGAATAAGGTACTTAGGAATTAATGTCACCCAAGGGGTGAATGGACTGCACGCTGCCAACCACACAGCATCGCCGAAAGAAATTAAAGAACACACAAATAAGCAGGAAGACATCTGCGTTCGTGGGCAAGAAAACTGATAATTGTCCGCTAGAGAGTCTCCAGATTCAGTGCAATCCTGTCCAGATCCCAATGACCTTTCTTGCAGAAATAGAAAAATCCATCCTAAAATCCACAAGGGACTCCAAATAGCCCAAACAATCTTTAAAAGAAGAATAAAGTTGGAGGACTCAGGGCACCTGGGTGGCTCAGTCAGTTGGGAGTCCAACTCTTGATTTTGGCTCAGGTCGTGATCTCAGGGTCGTGGGATCCAGCCCTCCATTGGGCTCCACACTCAATGGGCACTCTGCTTGGGATTCTCCCTCTCCCTCTGCTCTTCCCCACACTCACTCGCTCTCTCTCAAATAAATAAATAAATAAATTTTTTTAAAAAGTTGAAGGACTCACATTTCCTGATTTCAAAACTTGCCACAAAAATACAGTCATCAAAGCAGTGAGGTGCCAACACGAAGACAGACACACAGACCAACCAAATGGAAGAGCAAGCCCAGACATAAACCCAGGCATATATGGCGACATGGAATTTGACAAAGGAGCCCAGGCCATTCAGTGGGGAAAGGAAGTCTCCTCAACAGATGGTGCTGGGACAATGGGACATCCACACAAAAAAAAGAATGAAGTTGGACCTTCAAAAATATACACAACTATGGGGCGCCTGGGTGGCTCAGTTGGTTAAGCGACTGCCTTCGGCTCAGGTCATGATCTTGGAGTCCTGGGATCGAATCCCACATCGGGCTCCCTGCTCAGCGGGGAGTCTGCTTCTCCCTCTGACCCTCCTCCCTCTCATGCTCTCTGTCTCTCATTGTCTCTCTCGCAAATAAATAAATAAAATCTTAAAAAAAAAAAATACACAACTACAGCAGCAATGTCTATAAGAGCCAGACTGTGGAAAGAGCTCAGATGTCCTTCAACAGATGAATGGATAAAGAAGATGTGGTACATACATACAATGGAATATTATGCAGCCATCAAAAAGAATGAAATCTTACCACTTGCAACAACATGGATGGAACTGGAGGATATTACGCTAAATGAAGTAAGTCAGTCAGAGAAAGACAAATACCATATGATCTCACTCATATGTGGATTATAAGAAACAAAACAAAGGATCATGGGGGAAGGGAGCGAAAAATAAAACAAGATGAAATCAGAGAGGGAGACAAACCATAAGAGACTCTTAACTCTAGAAATCAAACTGAGGGTTGCTGGAAGGGAGGTGGGTGGGGTGATGGAGTAACTGGGTAATAGGCATTAAGAAGGGCATGTGATGTAATGAGCACTGGGTGTCATGTGCAACTGATGAATCACTGAACTCTACCTCTGAAACTAATAATACACTGTATATTAACCAAATTGACCTTAAATTTAAAAAAAATCAATATATACATATATGTTTTATATATGTATATAATTACATATACATAATTTTGGTTATATGCTATTAAATGATTATCAAAATATCTATATCTCTTTACAAATATAGATATATACTCTTTTTAATGTGTTATCTCATTTATGTAAGTACATTTTCTTCTGTGATTAACTTTTACTAATGTAAAACTTGCTTTGATTTCTGTGTGCCTCATTCTAGTCAGATAATGAAGTGACTATGCAATCTAGGAGAAAAACAATTATATAAGGAAGTGTTTGTGACACAGGTATGATAATTTTTTACATTAAAAATATAATCACAATAAAAAAATTATACACAACTATGGGGCACCTGGGTGACTTGGTCAGTTGAGCATCTGACTCTTGACCTCAGGTCAGGTCTTGATCTCGGGGTTATGAGTTCAAGCCCCATGCTGGATTCCACACTGGGTTTGGAGCCTACTTAAAAAAAAAAAGGAAAGACGGTGCCTGGGTGGCTCAGTCGTTAAGCGTCTGCCTTCGGCTCAGGTCATGATCCCAGGGTCCTGGGATCGAGTCCCACATCGGGCTCCCTCCTCGAGGGGAAGCCTGCTTCTCCCTCTCCCACTCCCGCTGCTTGTGTTCCTGCTCTCGCTATCTCTGTCTCTGTCAAATAAATAAATAAAATCTTAAAAAAAAAAAAAGGAAAGAAAAAAATATACATAACTATGTACAAAAATTAACTCAAAATGGATCTAACACTTAAGAGTTGAATTTGTAATACCCTTAGAGGAAACACAGGAGAAAAGCTTCAAGATACTGGATTTGGTGATTATTTCTTGAATGACACCAAAAGCCCAGTTAACAAACAGGAAAATAGGCAAATTGTACTTGATGAAAATGAAAACTTTTTTTTAAAGATTTTATTTTTAAGTCATTGCTACACCCAACGTGGGGCCTGAACTCATGACCTGAGATCAAGAGTCACATGCTCTTCCCACTAAGGCAGCCAGGCACCACAAAACTTAAAAACTTTTGTTTATCAGAGCACACTACCAATAGAGTAGAAAGGCAACCAATAGAAATGAAGAAAAATCTGCAAATCATGTATCTGATAAGGGATTACTACCCTGAATATCTAGAGAACTCCCAAAATTCAACAAAGAAACAAAACAACCACAACAAAAAAGCAAGCTGTTTCAAAAATGGGCAAAACACTTGAACAGACATTTCTCCAAAGAAGACACACAAATGGCCAATGAGCACATGAAAAGATGCTCGACATCACTGCTCATCAGGGAAAGCAGATCAAAACCTCACTGAGATGCCACTTCACACCTGTCAGGACAGCTGCCATTGAAACGGAAAAAGAAAAAAGCCAGAAACAACAAGTGTTGGCGTGGACAGGGAGACATCGGACCCCTAGAGAGCCATAGAGGGGATCATAAAACAGAACAGCTGCGTGGAAAACAGTATGGTGGTCCTCAAAAAACTAAAATTAGAATTATGATCTGATCCAGCAGTTCCACCTCTGGGAACACATCCAAAAGCAGGTTCTGGAAGAGACAGATGTGCACCCATGTTCACGGCACCCTCATTCCCAGCGGCTCAGACCCAGAAGGATCCCGTGTCCGTAGCAGACAAATGATGGATAAACAAAATGTGGGGTATGTGTATGAAAATCCTCAGCCTGGAAGAGGAAGGACACCCTGACACCTACTCCAGCGTGGATGAACCCGGAGGACGCGGCGCTGAGTGGAATGAGCCACACACACAGGACACACGGTAGGGTTCCCGTTCTGGGAGGTGCTGAGAGACGTCCAATCCACAGAGACGGAGAGAAGACGGTGGGCACCAGCGCGGGGGGACCACAGGGGGGTTGGTGGGGGTCCACAGGCAGGTGGGATCATCCTCGATGCTGTCCTCCTCAGATCCTACACGTGCTCCAGCCCCTCACACCTCTCTTCCACCCACGAGGCTCTCCAACTCCTCCAGCCACAGAGGTCTTGCCTTCCACAGAGCCCCATGGGGCCTGGGCATTCATGAACTGATTCAGCTTCCCTCCCCAGGTCAGCACCGTGAACAGCCCTGTACCGCCCGCCAAGCCCCTGGCCCCTGCCCTGCACCAGCCGTGTGTGCTGACCCTCCTGAACGCCAGGGGAGTGAGGCCACTAACTAGAGGTCACCAGGCGCGGCTCACCTTGGGCAGGGCCAGCTCCTGATCCAGTCCCACGCTGATGTGGCACATGAAATAGAGCCCCACTCCAAACAGGCCCATGAACAGCAGCGGCTGAGGAGGGAGGGGGATATTCTGGAGCTGGGCAGACTTGAATCCCAGCTGCCCCTGTGCTTGAGTCCCAGGGCCCGGGCAAGCTGTCGACCCCTTTGCAGGCAGGCAGGACCAGGCGCCAGGCTGAGCAGACCCTCCCACTCCCGCTGCCCCAGGGGTGGGAGGACCCCCAAGCCGTGCCTCCCGCCCCACTCACCACGACCACGCGCGTGACCCGGTGCAGCAGGAGTGGGACATAGAACTTGCAGAAGAATCGGAGCAGGAGCCCCTCGCTTTGGTCAGGTGGGGGCAGCTTCGGGGCGCCAATGCAGGGGCAGACATCCAACCGGGAGGCCTAGAGGGAAGCAGTCCCTCTGGGTGGCCCCAAAGCAGCCCCGGGCACTGCCTCCCCCCACCGCCCCCCGCGGAAGTGCCTCGCAAGGGGACGTGCCAGAGTGCTGTGTTGTTTGTTTTTCTATCTTGATGAAACACCTCTAAACTTTGTACTGTCACAGAAACGCTAGCTCCCCGTCAACATCTCACTTCCACTTTTTTCTCAACCTTTTGTACTTTGCAGGTTTGATCATATTCCCCTAAATCACCTTTTCTCTGGGGCCCTGGGGGCTTCGTGGCCCACACATCCCAGCACGCTGTCCCTGCATCCAGCCCCACTCTCTGAGCCCTGCCCCCCATCCCCGCAGAGATGAGGCCGGGCAGGGCCCTGGGTCCTGCACCACCCCTACCTCCTGCCTCCTGCTGTCCAGAGAAAACAGGGCCACGAAGGCGGACACCTGGAGCAGGAAGTCAAGGACGATCGCAAAGCCGGAGGTCAGGGCAAAAGTTCTCACAGCTGGCATGGGGGTCAAGGCCCCTGGGGGTGCAGGGGTGAGTCTTAGGGCGAGGCGTCTGCTCAGAGCAGTGGAGGGAAGGGGGCTGCCCCCACCCAGTGCCCCCAGCCCTCCTGTGGCCTGGCGGGGAAGGGCTGCCCAGGCTCACCGAGAAAGAAGCAGATGGCCTCAGACAGGCTGCAGAGCAGCATGCTGGGGGCCACTCTGCCCAGCGCGCGGCCGATGTGCTCCTCTCGCCGCTCTCCGGGCCTCCGAGGCAGCCTCTGAGTGGGGACATCAGGGACAGGGTCCAGAGCCAGCCATGGGCAGGGAGCTGGCCCATGCCCGTGCTCACCCCCGTCAGGAGCAGACCCCGCGAACGCTCTGCTCTCCGCCTCGTCCACTTCGCGGGGTCTGGCCCAGAGACATGCTTGGCGCGTTTGGGGATGTCCATAGCCTGCTTACTCCAACATATCCCCGGGTCCCTCAATGTCCACCGACAGGAGAGCCTAAATCAACTTGGGCTGTGCGTCCGTGGCATGCCCCGGAGGAGGCTGTGACCCTCACAGAGGGCATGACGGCCCCAGGGAGAGGGAGTGCAGGGGACACACGCGCTATGAAGATGACCCGGAACCCTCCAATCTCTACAGGAACCCGGGACGTGCATGCACGAGCAGAGCTGGCCAGAAGCCCGGGGGTGCAGGGCTGCCCCAGCGAGAGGGGGAGACCCCCCCGCCCTCTTACCTGGTACTCCAGAACAAAGATGAAGATGTTGTCGGCCCCCACGGCAAGCACCAGGAAAGGCACCACCTGAAGGATCACCAGGGAGGAGGGCACGCCCAGGTAGGAGAAGAAGCCCATGGCCGCCGTGACTGCTCCCAGGACCACCGCCACCCCGCCCAGGCCCAGCGTGACCTTGGAGTCCACCTGCAATGGGACCAGGCTCAGCCTCCGGGCTGCACCCCACGGGAGCCTGCGCCTCTCCCGCAGCTCGCCTTGTGGCGTGTTCTAAAGCTCAGCTCTGCGTCTGCTCCAGGGCGGCCTGTCCGAGGGCAGGACACCCCCAAGAAGCGTTACCCCTTGGGGAGCCCCTGCGGGGAAGGTGCCGCATGTCCGGACAAGCCACCCCGCCGTGCCCCCGCCCCCCGAATTCTCACCAGCACTCGGCGCCAGCTGGAGTAACTGCCCAGGGCCAGGGAGATGTACAGGAAGATGACGATGTAGCTGACCCCAAAGATGGGCAGGTCCTGGGCCGTGGTGCGGTTGATCTCGTCCTCCAGGGAGCGCTGCGGATGCACAGCCCAACAGCACTGACCCAGGGGCTCCCCGAGCCCCAGCGGGGCTGCGGGAGGGGGAGGAACCCACCCGAGGCCCCCCCACCGGAGCCCTCCCCCCCACAGAGCCAGGGACCCTGAAACCTACCTCCGCCATGAATGCGACCTGGAACCTGCCAGCTGAACGCTGCTGGAAGGCTTTCACGTGCTCCAAGAAGGCCGCCTCCCAGAGCTTGGCCTGCGCCAGCCGGGGGTCCCCAGGGGCATAGTTGTTGAGGGAGAAGGTCATGATCAGGGCCTCTGCCTCAGAGTAGTCCTTCCCTGGGATGAGAAATGCTCAGCCACCCTCCTTCCTCACCCCTGCTCCCCTCCCCGACTCCAGCCCCATCCCTGCCTCCCCCCCAACTCCAGCCCCATCCCTGCTCCCCTCCCCCACTCCAGCCCATCCCTGCTCCCCTCCCCC